TTACGCAGTAGGGGGGTGGGAGCTGTTGATTTACTGCTGGTCCCTCATAGTGTAACATTCCCCCACTGCTATAGCCTCCTTCTCCAGCCCCAATAAAGCAAAAACAAAACACCTTTCTACTTTTTCTCTTCTGCTTTCATTTCTACCGCTTCTGAAGCACATTGCTGTTTAGGCTGTTTTATTACATCACAAATCTCCGAGCTTTACAGCTTTGACCTCAGAGGTTGCAGGAAAATCTTAGAAATGAAAATGACATCAAGGAGGTGCTTAAACAGTAAACAGTGTCTGGCTGCCGGTATATGTATCGTGGACCACTGGAATGGGTTTTCTGTGTGTTCAGGCTTTTTTCTTTACAGCCTCTGAACTGCTGATGGGTGCTCATCACCAGCGGTCGTTAACACTGCAGGCAGGGTGGGAACAGCCTCCGTCGGCTCTTTGATAGCTTGTATTTTGAGCAAGCGAGAGACCAGGCCCCATCATTCTCCCTCTGGGGAAGCGGCCCCACCCACATGTTTGGAGACAAAATTACCTGCAAGCCTGTGTCATTGATGGCTTTGCAGCCTGAAGGTAATTTCATGTTAACAGCGGGGTTTTACTCCTAATATGACATTTGCCTGGAGAGGTTTGGTGCTTTTTAAGCTGCTGCCCTCCTGTTTCAAAATTTCCCCAGCGGGGCAGGAAAGAGAAATATTTTGACATTTCTGTCTAACCTTTCAGTGAATCGTCTCCGGAAACAAAAAAAAAATCCCATGTTCACTTCTCCTCAACATATATTCCCCCTCCAAATGCTACCGCATATAAGAATGTCTTTCAGTTTCACTACTAAGTTGGCTGTTTCAGCTGTGTGTACTACTTCCCAGTTTAATACTAGGGATGGGATAGTGGCCCCTCAAGAGTACCACGAGACATCCCGTCAGCTCTTGAGCCAGGAAATCTTTTGAGAGACTCACTGCCATGTGATAATCAGTGGTTGAGTCTTTAGCCATTAAAAAAAAGTGAGAACAGTGTCTGCGTGAGCATATAAAAATAGCCTCGATTTCAGGAAAACTTTTTACCCAAAAGCAACAATTTGCATCAGTCACAGACAGTTTACTGCTTGATGCCTGAGTTGAGTACAAAAACGTCTTTAAACTAATGAATGAGCAGAAACAGACAGAAATTTGAATATCCTCTGTTTTTAAATCCGGTTTAAGTCCAAACCAGACTTCTTTTTACACATTGAAGCAGATGGCGGCAAACACACACACACACACACACACACACACACAACCAGCAAGGCTATAATTAAAACCATCCATCCAACCTAAACAAACCCCCCTGAAGTGAGGGAAGCGAGCTGTGGCATTTTGTTTGTTTACCTTCAGCTGCCACCCAGCCAGCGGCCACGCTAAACCAACAGCAATGTGCTAAGAGTTTGCTTTTGTCAGACCTGAGGACTTGACACCACAACTACTACTACACAAGACACCTGGAAGCCAAATGTAAATCAGTGTGTCTCAGTTGTCGCTGCTTGTAAGCATCCAGCACTTTGTTTTTAGGATTATGGTGAAGGCTGCAGCTGGCATGTGTGAAGCAGAGCAGATGAGAATTGACACTCTTGGCATCAGTGCAGAGACAGTGATGGTGGTGGTATCCGATTGCTGCACAAAACCAAAATAATTCTCAGTTTTTGGCCTGAGAACAGGGTCTCTGTTGTCGCTAAAGGTTGCCCTAATTTTTGTAGACCAGGTTTGGAAAAGTGCTATGAAATTTAAGCGTGTTTAAAAAATAAAAATAAATAAATATGTCTTAATATGCGATTCAAAACATTCAGTACTGACCTGCATGTGCTGGTAAAAAAGTGCTGCTCTGACACAAGAGACACTGAGATTAGAGAAGAGAACAAAGTGCAACTGATCTCAGGTGTCCTCTAAGGTTTTTTTTGTATTAGAGACACAGCTTTTATCTTCAAAGAAGCCCCCTTGCCCCTGGCAGCATGAGATTAATTCAATGTTCACCTTTTCAAAGACATCAGCGAGGGAGAGTGATGTCACAATGCAGAAGATTCAATACAACTTGGATTTCATAAACCAATTCTTTCACAGTTTGCGACTGTTGATTTGAGTAGTTTAGCAGATGAAGGCCGGACTCAGATTCAACAAAACGTCAGAGACATCTTGAGATTAATCCCAGTCCAACTAAACTGCCTGATATAACTGGTGCCAGAAATGTAATGCTGAACTACACTAGGTGTCCAACTAGGGCAGCAATCAGGCACCAATCTGACTTTTTAAAATCCCAACACAGATTCCGGTACCTCAACTCAAACCTCATCGGCTGATACAGATTCCTGGTTTGATACGAGTGCTCTCCTTTTTCCAATATTTAAAATAAGTAAACCACAGGGATGGCTGTGAACAGCCAGTAATGACCTGCTGTGCATGTCTGCAGAAATACTGAATTTTATGACAGCTATATTTAAAGTAGATTGGTCATGTCTGGCCATTACCCAATCCACTTAATATGGTCAGTATAAAAAAATCGGCAAACCCTCACGTTTGGAGAAGCTGGAACATTTACTTAAATTAAGTAGATCAAAAATACATTTAATTGTAAACATACTTAAAACAATGTATTAAAATTGCTGTTGATTGATTGACTGATTGTTGGAGCTTTACATAACAACCAGAACAAATACCCACTTCATGTTCAGGAAAACAAGCGTGAGATCAGGGAGTTGGTGGCTTAGATCCCAGCTGGGAAAAGTGAAAAAGACATGTTCTCAGTCCTCAATCACCTGCTGCTGTTGCTCTTCATCTTAATCCCAGTGGTGTGTTTAGAGCGGCTTTGTGGACAGTAGATATCTGCGGTTGTACTTGGACGTAAGACACTGTAACCAAATGAGTCTGTGGTACAGCACTGCTAAGAAAAGAGCACTTAAGTTCAGCAACAACCCTCAGTGGAGTAAACAAAGATCCAAAAAAAGTTGACTTTTATCAGGGTTTCCCTCCTCTCTCCCACCCCTGATCTCCCTGTCTCCCTCTCTGCGGGGAAGCCACATGGTGCAGCAGATGCTCGGGCCGCTGTGCTCTGACTCCTCACACTCGCCTTTCTCATGGAAATTGCCGTGGTGGCTGTCTAGCTGAATAATAGCGATGGTCTGTGTGTGCACATGTACATTATGGAGTGGCAGGCGTGTGAAAGTGGGATGGGTGGATGGTTTACCATGTGTGGGTGGAGGTTTTAGGTGAACATATGAATAAACAGGGTTTGTTTTGGTATCCATATCGAGCTGTGTGTTCCTGCAAAACCAAACAAAACGTGGTTTTTAAAGGTTAAACTCAATAACTTGGTTGTGTTAGACCATAGAATGCTGCTAAATAATATCTGTTAGTTCTATCTGGTCTGATCAGCAGATGTTTATCCTTTTTTTTTTTTTTTTTCTTATGTCAGCTTTCTCTGCTGACCAGATTATATCACAGGACAATGAAACCCTAAATTTATTTGAACTAGTTGTGCCAGTGTGTGGGCAGGTGCAGTTTATACCTCCTGGCATCTCTGTATCCGTCCCTGGCAGCATTGCGGTGCATCAGCCTTAAAGGCTTCCTGACTCGGCAGTCAGCCACGGGGCAGCATATTGTCAAGGAGGTGGGGGATGTGGAGGGTTGTGATGGTGTGTGGGGGCGGGGTTGTTGCTCCCTGCGCCAATCCCCCAGTGTGAAAAGGCCCTTTGTGTTTCCCCAGCCATAAGTCTGCCTGGCATGGGATTGAGCCAAAGTGCCAGGTTCAGAGGTCAGAAGGCTGGCAGAGGAAGGTGTGTGTGAGCTTGTTGTTCTATCTTTGTGAGGACCAGTGTGAGTTTTAGATCGGAGAGTGGGGACATTATGATGGTTCTCAGTTCTTAGTTTTGTCACTTGACAAGTAGAAATAACATATTTTTATATATTATAACAATACAATACTACTAAAAAGTAGAAACCTCTCCACAACATATCAGAAAATGCTACTTTTGTGTCATGCTGTCACCTCCTCGTAGCTTGGAAGTACCGTATCCCATGATTTACAGATAAAGCTACAATTGTCTGGAACATATGGATTGCTTTAAAGTGGATTATGCTGCAGGATTGGTTTGACTGATTTCTAAGGCAATGTTTGTGTGACGCTAACACAGGACTGTACACATGCTCCTCCACATGTCCTATTCTACACTGCATAATTATTTGTTCTGCTTCTTTGACACACTCACACATGGCAGCAGCGAAAGTAAGCAGGCAACATGATCGTACAGCGTGCTCTCAGGGTAAAACAAGTGTCTTGACATCCTGCAGGGCTACAGTTTGGCACCAGAATCTCTCACAAGCTCTTACATGTTTTCATGGTGTACTTTCATTCTGATATTGAAGTTTCTTCATAAGTCATTAAATAGCCGCCCTTTGTGAGCCAGAAGACCTTCTGAATGAATGAAGCGTCATACAGAAGATTTATAGGAAATCTGAAACCTTCACTGGTTTTGTTTTCTGAGAATTTAGCTGCTGCTTTTGGGAAAATACACACTATTGCCCTGCAGTTATGTTTGTGCTATAACTTGGCCATGGTTCTGTAGAGCAAGGCAGTAGTACTGCCAGGGTTCAATTCTCTGTGAAGCTCTGTGAAGCTCAGTGAGCTGTCTATTCTAGTGTTTTTAATTGTAATGCAGATGAATCATGAACCCCCTGCTTTTCTTTTCTCTTTTTGTGTCTGAACCACAGTTTGCTTTTTAACTTTTTCAGTCAACCATTTGTACATCAAAATAAACTAAACCCAAACCCAGAAAGCTTAAAATGGACAGCGGGGGATCCAGAGGAGGAAGGGTGTTGACTGCGTCCAAACCATTTCCCAAACAAACATTAGTCGTCTGTGTTTCTGTCTGAGAGCTATTTTTGATTTGTTTGGCCATCCTGCATCAGCGTCTGCGGTGAAATATCTATCGGAGAAGGAGTCCTGACTGACCTTTCCTGTGTTTGCCCTCTTTCTCTTTGCAGGACAACATGCCTCAGACACCACCGTTCACGGGGCAGCTGAACACCGGCGGCTACAACAAGAACCTCTACCAGTCCAAGGAGGAAGGCTACCCCGGCCTCTTTTATCATGACAACAACCTGGTGTCTGGGTCCCTGGAGGCCCTCATTCACCATTTGGTCCCAACTGTAGATTATTATCCAGATGTGAGTATTGATCTTTCACATTTTCCTTTAATTTTTTATCCCTGGTGGTTTCTCTTCCTTTGCAGTTTCATCAAAGTAAGGAGGTAAAGCCTCTTTTCTTTTTGTTCTGTGTGAGAAGCTCTGGTGCTTCGAGACCCTGTTCAGTGCCAAAGTTGCTTCCATTCTCCTTTTCTTTGTCTTTCTTTCTTGCATCTTCTTTCTGTACATCAGGGATAGAAAGTTTTAACTCCCCTACTTGTTATTTTTATATTTTGTTGTTGAGGTACCATTCCCCGTTGAGTGTTTTAATTTCATGTGGTTTTAAAGCCCATTTTCAAACTTAAATGATCAATTTGTCACCATGATTTTGCTTTTGTGGAAAACGTATTTTCTTTTTCTCCCCATAGAGAACATACATCTTCACCTTCCTCCTCAGCTCTCGCCTCTTTATCCACCCATACGAACTCATGTCGAAGGTGTGTCACCTGTGCATGGAGCAACAGAGACTTGGAGATCCCCAAGCTGACAAGGTATGCACAACAAAAAATCCCTACCTGGCTCAAATTTCTAGTTCCTCTTCTTCATGAACAGGGCTCTTAATTGTGAACCTACTACAAAACAATCGTTTTGGTTGTCCCTTATGTGTTTATCCTGCATTTTCAGATGAGAGTCAGGAAGATTGCTCCCAAGATCCTCCAGCTGCTGACGGAATGGACAGAAACCTTCGCATATGACTTCAGGGACGAGAGGATGATGCGCAGCCTGAAGGAGCTGACCCACCGGCTGGCCAATGGAGATGAGGTCAGTCCTCGCCCTTTCTTTATATCTTTCTTCATGTCACTCATCATAGACATACAACAAAACAATTATTCATACTAAATGAGTTAAGTAATGAAGGCTTGCCTGCTGATTAGATAATATGTTTGGTTCAGGTGTTATCACAAGCTGCTGTCTATAGACCGCACATGCAGCAAAGCTACAGGCACAGGCAGATTTTTGCTGATAGCAGTGAAGGGAGGCAAAGGGGGGGTATCTCTGGCAACAAAGCAGTTTTTGAGGCTGGCTGAGTTGAGAGAAAAGCCCCATTGTTATGGGCTAGGTGGCTTTTTTGTCGTCTCTGTGGCGCTCCTTCCTAGGCAGCATTTGAATTGTTCGAATGCTGCAGAGCTGAATGTCACTGGCTTAGGCCGTCATTAGCCTCTGCTTCGCTGTTTGGATGAAAGTTTATTTAGTGGAGTAGAACTGTTTTTGTCTTGTCTGTTTAATCTGCACAAATTTCTGTCTAAACATAAATGTTGAAATTACATTTTGTGGTTTTAGAGGGAGATATGTGCACTAATTGTTTCTGTTTACCACTGTTTCTAGTCACAGCTAAACAAATCACTTCCGGGCTCTAGCTCTGTACTTAACGAACAAGAGTGGTATCAATATTTTATTCTAACTTTCTGCACAGAAGTGAATAAACATATTTTTTCAAAATGTTAAATTCTCAAAATTGACTATATTTGTCAAAACATTTTTTTGTCCATTTTCTTATGAGTTCCTGCTGCCTTTTTGACCCCTTACAAATGGGATTTAATTTCAAAGAACACCTTGTTAAAAGAGAATAAAATAAAGTATAAAAAACCTACTCTCCAAACCACCATCTGTGGTTCTCTGTGGAGTTTTCCCAGTTTGTATCCTTACCTACTCCAATCGGGTTAAAAAGGCTACACATTGTTATTTTCCCTTCATGTCAACAGTGGCAATGTTCCCACTTCAGTTTTCTTCAGTCTGGACAAATAATTCACTTAGTCATCATGAGTCAGAGTTCTTTCAGTGCAAGACCTGATGGATTCACATGTGTGCTGGTGGGCTCTGCTTGGGAATGAGTTGCGTGTCCGAGTTAAGTGTGTGTGTTTTTGGGGGGTTGGTGTTAACGATAAAGCAGCAGGGGCTTGTTAGGACCAGACAGTGATTGAGGACACAAACATCCATCTGTCCTGATAGAAGACATCCCTCCTTCACTGCTCAAGACAAGAAAAACACAACCCACCCACCCCAGCATTTTTAATGCAGGTTTCACACGACTTATCAATAGTACAAGCATGACCATTGATCCTGATTTTAATCTAGAAATCAATACGTTTCTCATGACACATTTAGAGCTCTCCATATCGGCTCTCCTTGTGTAACCCACAGACGTAAAACACATCTCAGCTGACCACCAGTAATAGACACACACTCAGTCTTTTGATGGTCACACAAACATCTTCTGATTTCACAGTAGATTGGCTGCAGTTGGCATTAACTCCACCCCTCCAAAGATATTTTTGATGGTTGAAATCAATTCTGGCTTCGAGGCAACAGAAAGTAATTTAGCACAAGATTCCCTGGTACTTTCCCTTGAGGTGATATCATGCTCAGCACATTTAACAAAACGCAATAACAGGTGACTCATTTTTAAAGTGTATCCAAATAATTGAATGCAACAGCCGTTCAAAGTCATTAGTTTCTCTACTCATTTATTCCAGTTTAGTTTTTATTTTGGCTCACTTTCATTTATCTAATCATCTTATTTGATGAAAAATTGAAAGTGATAGCACCCAAAGAGCAACTTTGTTAAGTGGGAGGTAAGGCAACTTGCGTAACAATTTCAACATGTACTTTCAATTTCTTTTCTGAATAAGTAATATGATATATGTTTTTATATATAACCAATATATAACGTCCAATTGTAGCAATGTCAAAGCATGCTCACAACCCAGCAATAGGTCTTATTAGTAAAATGTTATAGAGGTTGATGAGCAATGATGGCTTCTCAAAAAGACCAATAGTTTACCTTAAAATCATGGACAGTAATTTAATCTAACAGAGCAGGAATTGTGGACATATGACATTAACATAAAAAACCTCTATCAGTGAACAGATAAAGGTTACAAACAATAGATGTATGCACTGTGCTGACAAAGCGACCTTTAACAATACTTGAACACCCTGCAGATGTGCATTTATGCTCATGATTAGCACAGCGTGACCAAGAATGGTTTTTCAAATGAATGGTTCTTAGAGAAGCTTTGTTGCATCGGGTTTACAAATTGCCACAAGCTAATGTTGAGGAAGTGAAATTGTGATATTATTTGTTCATGTGTCCTTGGATGATAACCCGTGATAATAAAACGTGATTCCTCTCTGAAGAAGTTCAGCAGTTTAAGTTTAAGGAAGCAGTCCAATGACAGCAGGAGGGGGTTTGATCAGAATTCATTTGCATTCATGTTTCTCACAGGTTCTCCAAATCATGTTTTGAAAACAAAACGCAAATGTGTAACCATAAGCAGGTCTTGAGTACAGGGTTAGATTCTGGTTCTTCAGAGCACCCACCACAGCACTCTGGGAAAGGGTTTGAGTCCAGAATAGATGTCCCAAACATCTGGCCACAGTCGTGTCCAGACCACACTCAGAACATTCCAGGACCTTGATCTCTGTAGTAAGACTGTCATTATGGATGTGGTTGGATATATAGGGAAGCAGCAGCCGAGAAGAAACCAAGCACTGTGATCTTGATCTGACCTCAAAATGTGCAGTTTTTATTTTGTTCTTCTTTTTGCTCTATTATGATAAATTAGGTTGATTTACCAGATCCCACATTATATATCCAGTTGAATGTCTGGTACACTTGATATAAGGCAGACCTTTGGACAAACATGAACTGTTTTTAATCCAAATGGGGCATGCACAGTACCCTTTTCTGACAGGTGCCACTGCACTGTATGTTTTAAGTTGCTCTGGGAAGTTCAATATCTGGTTAGCAGTCAATTGTTGAAAAAATATTATCTTAAACACTTATCTTTTTGTGGTTTCTGATTGCCTTATAGCTAAATTTAACAGGAAAGCAAAGGATATAATGTGAGCATACCCACTTTTCTCTGAATGGAATACTTGCTTAAGAAGAAAATGATAAAATAAAACTTTATTGTTCACCAGGGTGGAAAAGTGAAAAAGCTTGAAATTTGAGATTTGGACTCAAGTTGGACTTTAGAGTTTAGAAATCAGAGATCTGAAAGACGTTCAAATGACTTCCAAATGCTAACAAACACTTTGACTTGTCTGGTGTGAGTCGAATTGACTTGGACTTGGAGCAAATTAAAGCTGAATGCTAGGTTGTTGAGAGGTACTTTGGCCCCATCGTGACTTGGCAACATGGATATGTTTGTAGATAAAATAATCCTACACAATGCACCTTTTACTATCTGTTCATTAGTGCTGCTTGGCTAACCTGCTAAAAACAGACAGGTCTTCTGTGTGGGTCAGGTGGTGCTCCACATGAAGTAACGCCACTCAGCCAAGGAAACCAGGACCTCTAGTGATACGATGGCATGAACCAGCCACACGCTCAGTCGTGGTGACTTGTACTGGGCAGCCGTCTGCCACCTCAGGATCACTGCCAGGGTCGATAGCGTAGGGAACAGCGTGCCCCTGCTAGGCCTCCTCATATGTAACGCCAATAGTTTTGATGAGCAAATGTGACTCCCTCTGCTTAGAAATGTCAGGCATGCTGTTGTCTCCAAGATCTGTGACTATATTTATCCGACCCTGGCCCGTCCTCTTGTTTGTAGCGTGGACAGAAGCTACGGCAGATGGCTGACTTTGAAGTGGCAACTGGAGCGATTTTCACTGGTTGTGTCTCACTGTTGTCTAACTGTGCAGGACTGTGGTCAAGCAATAGCTGAATATATACAGTGTTTACACTGATATTACAAAGTCTGGATGAAAGTATTTCATGTAGTGCTCCAACTAATGATTATTTTTTATATATTTTAAACCTTTAATAGTAAAATGATCCATCATATGTTCTGGGGGACAGACGCGATGCCTTGAAATTGCTCGTTTTATAAATTTGTTCAGCTGGCCAAGGAGCAATTATTTGAAAAGAAATGTTCTCTCTCCTCTCCAGGCCATGTAGACTACCACATATATTTTTTTAACTTCATTTTTCTTGTCTCTGTCTTGTGCTTTTGCAATCACCCCTTGCCAAAACTGCAATATCCACAGAGCCACAGTTGATTGGCTGACATGTGAATGTGTCTGTTCATGTGCCATCACACCTATCACAGCCACATCAACAACAGACAGATCCATTAGTCTCGCCCTGGGAAGTGAATTTCAAAAAAGGTCCCGCCCTGTCTGTTTCCAGCAGAGTGATGAGAGTTCACTCATTTTTCCCAAGTGCCTGAGCGCAGCAACTCACACTTGATTGCTGTCTAGGCACCGGGCCTTCATATCCATTATAAGGCTAGCTGTGTTTCTTCCCACCCTGTTGAACTGGAGTCTTGTTTAAAGAACCCATATTCTGGATGCTGAATTGGCAGAAAGTTCAGAGAGGAGGGATGTGGTCGTGAGAAAAGGGGCCTCGTCACCCCAGATTTTTGGGCAGCTCAAACCGGTGGTATGGAAAGAGGCCACGAACACGATCCTCTGTGTACATACAATAACATTCAGTCCCCTCCACATACGCAAAATCAAACACACATGTCCTTCTTCTCTCTATAAACCTTCTTATGCAACTCCTATGCTAAACTGTGGCAGCGAGGGAACAATTATCTAACCGTAGCATGCTTTGAGTCCAGGGGAGGGTTCAAAACAGGACGACCTCTCGACCTCTTGAAGCCAGGAGGGCAAGAGTGTCCCTCCTCTGCCCCTGTTGAGCTGATAGGCCTTAATGAGCGGCAGGAAAAGGGTTGTGTAACATTATGAGTGACCCTCCCTGTGCATGGCCAACAGGCAGCTTCTCTGCTAAGTAAATTCCTTGAGGCATCACATTTTGAGGGCCATTCTGTGGTTTGGGCTGGGAGCTGGCATCAGTCAGTTCTGCTGACATGTAGTCAACATGTGTGTTGTAAATTCCATTGAGGTTGTTATCACTCTCCACCACAGATGAGTGGTTAGGGTTTAGCCTAAAATGCCTACAGTTGAGCCAAACAAAGTGGCTGTACGCATGCTACTGGATATCACACTCCGCTCTCTAGTTCTTGTTATCGCTGTTATAGTGTTTCTCATTCTCTGTCACCAAACCTAATGGAAAAGGGATGTAACTGTGTCTAGCAGCAGTGTGTCCTTGGCTTTTCAAAGCTGTACAGAGCTAGAGAACAGGAAAACAAAGCCTTGGCTAACGGTAAAGAGTTGGGGGTTATCTAGGGTTCCTCAAGTTTCAAAGAGAGTTTGCCATGTGAAAAGAATAGTCATAAGCAGGACCCTTGTGGAAATATCATCAACCCCTTCTGCAGGTGAAGAATATGTTGGATTCCCAAGTGATGTCAACAGAATATATAGCAGAATTAAATAAAACTCATTTGAAGCTCCTAAAAGTTCAGTTATAACTAATTTATTCTCTTTTTTCACCTCTTTCCATCCCTCCCCTCCCCTTGCTCTTTCCTTCCCCCGTCAATCCATCAGGTTTACAGGAAGGCGGTCGGCCAGATGAGCCAGGGCCTGATCAGGAGGTTGACGGTGCTTAGCCAGTACGAGGAAGCACTGGTCAAGATCAATGCCACGGCGTCCGAGCGACTGACTGCTCTAAAGGCAAAGCCCCAGGCAGCCATCCAGAGAGACATGCTGTCCATCTGCAACGACCCATTCACTGTCGCCCAACAGCTCACACACATAGAACTGGTGAGAACAATGCAGATGTCATCTATATATTTTGGTTTATTTCTTATTGGGATCTATAATATATGTCCTTTTTTTTGTCAAGGACAGTGCCCATTGATCTACAGAAACCTGTAAATGAGCGAGAGGGCTAATTTTCATCTGTCTGGTCTTAAAAATCTGTTTAAATCATAAAATATCAATCATTTGCTGTGACATGTCAAACCAAATTGAGATGTAAGTGTTATCTTCCAAAGAACAATCAGGAATCCTGCCAATGACTTGTACTCATATCGGCACATGAGCCAAAGAGAATAAGACTAAATCGATACTGGAGAGGAGAACGTGAGAGGGAGGGAGAGCTGACATGTATGATGGATTAGAAATCAGTGTGGTGGTCGAGGTGAACCGAATGCCACAGCTCCTCCCATGTCCGACCTACCACAGCATTGATTTTAAACAGCAGTGTTTGACCACCGCTTTATATTCATTGGATATAGTTGTAGTCAGTTTACCATTTAAAAAAAAAAAAAAAAAAAAAAAGGTTGCTTAAGGGTTTCCCAGATCCAAAAGGAAAGTGCAAACCCCACGACAACTAAGGAATAATGGTAAATGCTGAGATATACAAATAAATAGATAGACATAAAGGATAAAGTCAGAAAATGACTCTGTGATGTCAGTTAAATAAGAATATTCCTCTAAAGTTTGATAGCATTGGCTTACATTTAGCCACTGGAAGCTACTAGGAAGGGTAAGACTGGTACTGATATTTTTATTTATGGCTTATGAATTAAATTTTTCATTTTAAAGAGATTTATTTGTGTTTCAAACCATACACTCTCACAATTCCCTTTTATGGCCACATCTATAAGAACCTGTAAGGATTCCCCAAATGCCATTTTAAAGTGCTGATTTTGAGGGTGATGCAAACTCTTGCAGCAACATTCACCGAACTAAAGGTGGAATCGGGAAGTTGATTTTTTTTTTCTTTTCTTTCCTTCTCAGGAGAGACTGAGTTACATCGGACCTGAAGAATTTGTCCAGGCCTTCGTCCAGAAGGACCCTCTGGACAACGATAGGGTAACGTCTGCATTCCTTTTGTAAAAATAAATCGCCAGATAAGCGAAGTGTATACAGTGGTTATGCAATCTTTTTTTGGCTGAAATCCTGACGTGAATCATCTCAGTCTGGAGTGGGTTACAAGTGAGACGACCTAGTTTCTCCTCCAGATGGATGATAAGTTTACACAACAGACTGGCCGCCACACAGGTCAAAGTGAGGGCAGGTGATTTCTAGACTGTTGCAGCAGACCAAATATCCGCCCCTCGCACACACACACTCAGACACACCTCACCAACAATTTCCTCAAATCATCCCAGTGTCTGGATAGGATGGGCATGCATGCACCTCATCTCCTAGCAACCACTGCTGCCAAGGGTTTGTTTTGGGAAGGGGTGTGTGTGTGTGTGTGTGTCGGTGTGTGTGTGTGTGTGTGTGTGTGTGTGTGTGTCGGTGTGTGTGTGTGTGTGTGTGTGTGTGTGTGTGTGTGTGTGTGTGTGTCGGTGTGTGTGTGTGTGTGTCGGTGTGTGTGTGTGTGTGTGTCGGTGTGTGTGTCGGTGTGTTGATGGGTCGGTGGGTTCTCTTGTCTGGCGTTCGGCTGCTAGGCAACAGCCCCTTTTTTGAAGCGAGGTGATGAGGGGGTTAAGGCTGCCTTTGTGCCTTAGGCTAGCCTGCCTCGTACCCCCAATGAGCCACTTTGAAAAGACAGGAATAACTCTGTGCGTTTGTGTGTGTGTGTTTGCATGTTAATATCCGACTTGTCCACTGGCGGGAAATACTACATGGGGGCGAATGGCGTAAGGCCAAAGGAATGTGTGGAATTAGATCAAGAGGACTCCACACAAAGGACCAGCATGCATAATGTGAATAACATTGGCCACTATTGTGCTTATAGAAGCAGAGTGAAGTTGAGCGTGATACACAGGTCCACTTAGCCAAGAGTTATTTTTTATGCTCAGTGATGCATCAATGAAAAACAGCAAATATCAGCTTTTTTTCCAGTGCAGCACTATTTCTTGCTTTGCAATTAGCTTAAATGCTAATTGAAAGTCTGATGTTGTTGTTTCAGAGTTGCTTCAGTGATCACAAGAAGGCCAGCAACCTGGAAGCTTATGTTGAATGGTTCAACAGACTCAGTTATCTGGTGGCTACAGAAATCTGCATGGTGAGTAATGAACATGAGGCCAAGTTCACACTGAAATAAGAACCCTGAGTGCTGTACAGGAGCAAAAGAAGATTTGGCTGCATTCAGTGATTATTCTCATAAGCTATAAATCTTCTTTCAATCACTAATTATAGTCACTAATTATGATTAAGTCTGAAACCCAAAGAGAAAAATAGCAAATTCTCCCATTAGAGAAACTCAAAACAACAAATGTTAGCCATTTTTTGTTTTATATATGACTTGAATTACTAGTTGATTACCCAATAGTTTGCATGAGGCACCACTACCCGTTGCAAGAAATTACTGTTATTATTATATTTGAATATGTCATTACTAAATAGGATATCAGAGTACAATGCAAAAAGTAAAGTGCTTCCCAAAAGATTCTCAACGAACACATTTACAAAAGTGTAGTATGTCCTGAGGGCTAATGCAGTTTTTTTTATGTTCTCCATTTTGTTAACAGCCTGTGAAGAAGAAGCATCGAGCTCGAGTCATTGAGTTCTTCATCGACGTGGCACGCGAATGCTTCAACATTGGCAACTTTAATTCCCTCATGGCCATCATATGTGAGTTGGTGTTCTGTTTCTTTTCCACTGAGAAAACAATTGAAGGGATTCTTTCCAGAACTTACTTTTTGATGAAAAAGTAGTTACCGAAAGTCTTTGTTTCTAATAAACTCAAATGATTAAGTCTTCCAAAATGTCATTGATCCATAAGTAAACAGTTTAAGATAATATTCAACAGCCAAGAAATTATATGTACCAATGGGTGTCAAATTTTTAAAATGTCATGTCTCATCTCTGAGACTCTGCACTCGTTCCCTCCGATCTGTATTCCTGCACAGATAGCTTTTTCTTTTGGTCAGTGGATCGGATCAGCGTAGTAAATGCAATTTGTCGTTCAGTGAGAATTTTGTGCAGCCATGTAACCTCCCCCCGTAGCAGTAACCTCTCATGACTTTGTCCCAGTTCATTTCCAGCTTATGTAATTTACTTCAGTCTAATGACATCCGTTAGACTCTGCAGCAGAGGGAAAGAAGCATTGGTCCATGCAGATAATTGTCTCAATAGAATTTGGTCAGAGGAGAGAAACAAAGTTTTTCACCTGCAGAAAGACACACATCCATACAGTAGCTGCAGATTTATTATTTATATTTAACGTAGGTATAAAATTCATATTTGAGAAATGATGTATGCCTGGCATGATTGTGTGTAAATGTGTTTCTAAAAATATGACATTAGTCTAAGCAAAACTACTATTACATAAGTATTAGAAATAATTAAGACGCACACAGAGCCCTAAAGCACCTCAGACAGTTTAGAGACCTCGCTGGAAGTTCAACCAACAGCCTCCAGGGATCCCAGAGATGGCCCAGTGTTTAGAGGAGAGGGCATCTGGTCATCCTCACAGGCCTGAGGGAGGGAGGAAGGGAGGGAGGGAGGGAGGATATGTGTGTCCAGAGCAGAAAGGCAGGCGGGGTGGGTGGGGGGCAGCTGGAAGAGGACTCAGAACAAACCATCCAGGCAGATGGTCAGCACTGACCAGAGAGAGTGTGAGCACACAAGGGAGGAGGGGTGGGCAGGGAGAGAGGATGGGATGATGAAGGGGTAGAGTGGAGGATATTGGAGTGCCAGCTGTTCTCCTTCTTTCTCCCCTGAGAGAGGGAGAGGGAGAAAGAACGCCATAGGCAAATCCCTTCTCCACCAGCCTCATCTCTAGGGTACCACCAGGGTTAGACAGTGTGTTAGTGACGTAATTAAAGGGTTAGTTCACCCAAATTCCAAAAGCAAATTTTCTTATTTACCTTTAGTTGTACCTAGCCTGGAAGATTTGGGTTTTATTTTCCAGGTTTAGAGATATCTGACTATGAGCAGATCTGATCCAATAGGGACCCAAAGACAGTAAGAACTGTTTAGAAAATAGAAAAGATCAGTTTTCATTTGAGGCTGTTTGCAAGCGTTACTTACTCACAGACCACAAATAGTGGCAGTGTCAAGTTTCACAAATGATTGTGAAAGATACATTTGCATCTGCAAGCGAGAGCCCAGCAGCAAGATATTAGTGAAATGTGTGGGTTAGACCACTAGAAGTAATAGAATTAGGTAAGGCAATATGTTTTTTTTTCTTTTGGACGTGCAAGTAATTTGGCTGAACTGGCCCTTTAAAGATGGAATAATGCTCTGTCAGTGTCTCTTTGCTCTTGCGACATTGTGTCGTTGCTGAAAAGGAGAAGACATCAACAATATATTAATGTTCTCATAAAGGGGAGAGCGTGTCCCAGTGGGGCAACTACCACAGCCAACACCTGTCCTTACATACACACTGGTGTCTTTGTGAGTAGATGGAGCCGTTTCCTAGGCGAGACACGTTCTCACACACTCTGTCACATGCCACTGTGGTCGGACTTTCATTCATTTCAGGCTGGCTGTGTCATGTTAAACTCAAACAGTCTCTTGGGAAGCGGAGCGAGTTCAGGAAGAAAATTAGATTTAGTCAGTTTAGAGTTTTATATTTCTCTCTGTGCAGTTCCTTTGTTTACTCAAGGGTTGTTTTGTGTTGTCCTGCTGCTCTGATAGTGACCGTCGGTGCCTGAACCTGCACCAGGCACACATACACATACACACAGAGCATTACCATATGGGAAGCAGAGCTCTGGGAGGGGAAACGAGGCGTGTGTTAACTCCATTGTTGCTACGGCCTTTTGCCTCGCTGCATCAGAAGAGACAACAGTAGAAAGAAAGAAAAGGGGAGGTAGAGGGGGGTGTTAAAGGATTCCTGTCGTGGTAGGATGGGTGGAGGGGGGGTGGGCGTCTGTCTGGCTGTATGGGAAAATGCCATGTGTTAATGCGATCACGTTTGGGTGTTTTCTTGGATGTGTGATATCTCTCTCATTGTATTCTTTTCTGTTGTGTCCATCTTGCAGCTGGGATGAACATGAGTCCCGTGTCTCGGCTCAAGAAGACCTGGAGTAAAGTCAAAACGGCCAAGTTCGACATCTTGGAAGTAAGTTTGCCTGAAAAGTTTGAGATTTGAAGTCATGTGCAGCTGTGAACCTCAGATGTCCAAATGTGGATGCAGTGCTGACGGAACTAAAAAGACACAAGGTTAAAAGTTTGTTAAAATTTATGGATATAATCCCTCTGCCAAATAAAAACACAGATCTGCTACACAAAATCTGCAGTTTTCTGTGTTGTCTTCTCTTCAGTTTTAATTGTCGGACTCTTCCCGTATGCCCACACATATTAGCAGCTCTGCGATTTTGTTGTGTTCGACACTGATGACTAACCGTGCTGTGGGCGTGTGGGGGAGCTTCTTTTTGTCAGTGAAATGTTGGGTTAAGTGTAATGACAAAGACAGATAAACACAGTCGTGCTAAAAGCTCTTGCAAACATGGATCTGAGTGGGAGAGCAGAGCCTCACACAGATCTTGCATAACTGAACATTTAACAACATTTATATTGTTGTTGAAATAGCATTGGAGGGCGCCCGGTTAGCTCAGTGGGTAGAGCTGGCGACCCATGTACCGAGGCTGAGTCCTTGCTGCAGCAGCCCAGGGTTCGAGTCTGACCTGCGGCTCTTTGCTGCGTGTCATCCCCTCTCTCTGCCCCCCTTTCTTGTCTGTCTTCAGCTGTCGCCATCATAAAAACAATTAAAGCCCCAAAAGAAAAAAAAAAAAAAAAAAACAGAAATAGCATTGGTTGCTTGTAAAATATCAATCACAGTATAGCAGTCCTAAATTGGTGTCTAACCCTAACTCTCATATGTAGCCAAAAAATACAGGTAAAAGCAAAAGAGTAATATAATTAATAATTCTTGCACAAAATGTCTGACTTTTTATTTAAATGTAATGGTTACAAAAGGAAACAAAACAGAGTAGCAGTCATCTGGAGATGTGTTCCTCAAGCAAAGTCCAGAGTAAGACTTTAGAAATGGCAACAAACAAGCAAATCTAACACCCAACATGGAACTGACGGATCCATGGGGTTGAAAGCGGGTGGAGGCAAAGGGAATGCAGCAGGCTCCTGCCCAGATGCTGAGGTGTAACTGGGGTAGAAATTACACGCAGACCCCTCCCCTCCCTGTGGTACCTGAGGAAACCCCAGATACTGCAGGAAAGACACTCTGAGCCCAACAGGCCTTCAGTCGGCCCTTTGAAAGAGGAGATCTGAAGTTGAGACGAGTCTGAAGCTTTCAAAGACTCAGTTCTTTAGGTTCCCTTCATGTCTCACCGGATTTAACTCCATCTTTCTCCTTCTGTTTGTCATTCTTTTGTCATTCTTTACTCTTTTGATTTCTTTTACCCTCCTGTGTTGTCCCTCTGAGCCTTATTTGACGTGAATCTTGAAGTTAATGTGCTTGATGGTCATTTTGATTGACACTGTATGTTTTTTTTTTTCTATAGCACCAGATGGATCCTTCCAGCAATTTCTACAACTACAGAACTGCGCTGAGAGGAGCCACACAGAGATCGATCACTGCCAACAGCAGCAGAGAAAAGGTGAGGCCTCAGCACACAATGATTGTATGATTGAGCTGCATGGCCTCTTTTGGTAGAATCATCATAGAAGATGATATTTTCTGAATTTTAAACATTTGAATATAATCTCAACTTTTTTATTTGGTTCACGGGTAGCTCAGCTCCCATCTGAATGCAACACGCTGGGCAGGACTGAGGAGTGCAAATTAAATTTACATGCTGACATTTAATGTGCAGCTTGTTAAATAGAGATTGAAATTCTAGCAAAACCTCCACCGCTGGGAAATCACGTTTTGGAGAAAGTCTGAGTCTAGTCAGGTCAATGACAGTTAATGAAGTCCAACTTACCAAAAAGTCAACAAACATTTCTTTTGTACAAACACATCCAGTAGCTGCGGTTTATAAAATCCCCACTTTTGAACATCTGCACTCCAGACTTTGGTTTACATTTCATACATTTTGCTGAGCTAACGTCCACATCTTGCAAAAGACCACTTGACAGCTGCTAGATGAACCAAAAGTGACCTTTCAGTATCAGAACAAGCACTCTGACCGCTGGACCACCCTGGACAAAGTGTTGGTGACGCATGTTGCAGCAGAGATCCTTTGTGCTGATTACAGTTATGTAAAAACTTGAGATGCTTATCACACCGCTTTTTCACATCATGTGCTGCGACATGGAACTTGAGGGAGGGGAAGGCAAAGCAGAATAACGAACCATAGCGCTGTCATTCCTTATGCCTTGTTATCGTCTGGGAGCAGCGTTCCCATTGTGCTTACAACATCAGCAGCCGTAAACACAAGCGCAGCGGACTTGGACGGAGGACAGCGGTTGCATAACCGCATAGCCCAGAGGAGGGACACAGAGGTTGACTTATAAGTGGGTCAAGATATGAGGAGGGTCTTGGTTTCCTCCTCATCAAACGTGTTGTGTTTTCCTCAACAAAGGAAGAAAGAGAAAAAACAGTTGCCTGCCAGATCACATAGTGTTCTCTGCTGCTTCTTGAGTTACCCTCCCTGAATCTGAACCAGCGCAGAGCTCGTGGGCTGTCAGACGTTAGTGGTTAGTCTCTCCTCGTACATCACATGTTGAATAATGTGTTTTTTTCATGGAGACAGAGTGTACTGTCAATATGTATCTGGCTCCCTGAGGTTTGTGCGGGATGTTTTTTCGGAACTCAGGAATGCAAACATACCCGGACAAGAGGTCGGGGTCATGAAACGGAAAGTTCCCAAGAAGTCTGGTATGTTCTTGCCCTTGTGGCCTCTCCTTTATAAGGAGGGGTGGGGGGGTTGTTTATGATCTCCTCTAGGCATCCACAGTGCTGTTGACTTTGTCAGAGGGTCAACAAAGCCAGCATTCATGCTTCATTTGGATTCAGTTTTGCTGTAGTTCTGTTCTCTGCTGTGAGGACACACAATCTTCCGACAGTTGTTGCTGTGTTGATTATTTTGTGTGAAATAACATTTAAACAAAATGCCAAACAGCTGATCTAAGGCAGACTTGGTATATCACATGTTGGGTTGTACAGCAACAAAGAAGAATGTAGAAAATATTCCAGTTCACACCCAGTTACATCACACGATGTGCTTCCAGACCCTCAACATCCCAGATGTGTCCAGCTGTGAAATAGACTTCCTCTCTGTTCCTCTTGGGCACCTTTTTTTCCTCTAAAAGCAGAACATGTGTGTACAGACGTGTGCATGCATGACAACAGTCTCCGGATTGGGCATACGAGCATGTCCTTGTAAACATCCTGCTCTTACAGAGCCCTCAGAGTACACTGTGTGCAGACTCCCTGACTTCACTGACATCAAGTTAACTAGTTGTCAGCCGCACTCAGATTTTGTCGAAGGATGGTGAGGAGGCACAATTTCACACAAACAAGCTTACAATACAAATCAGCCAAGAGAAATCAGATGGATTCACTGGCTCGACAAAACGACTATCTTGTGAAGAGACATAATTAGGAAAGGGTGTGTGGGGTTTATTCAAGTGCAACCTCTGATACAATCAAAATGACTTTGGTTAAATAAAACACAGAATGCAATAAAAATGTGCATTTGATAAATTGCTGCTACCCCCTCTGGTATTTCATCTCTTAAAAGCTCCACCATCATGAATGTTTGATAATATTGGGTGGGGATGTGTGGGACTGTCAGGAAAGAGTTTTCTTTTTTTTTAGGTCACTGTGCCAGATTGCAGCAGTCTCTCGACACACAGGAACAAAAGTGGTGTTTGTTTATCAGCCATGGCATCTGATAAATGCCAGGTTTAACCAGCCAGCCAATTTTCTGAGAAGAGAGAAAAGTCCCCGCCAATGTAAAATTGACTGTTATTTGAATGGAGTCTGGTGCTTCTTCCACACCTTGCTTTCCATCAACATCTATGTTAGTGCCCGGACACGCAGTGACCTGAATCAATCATTTTGAGGGTGGCGATGAATTATTTACAGGGCTTTAAAGGGGAATGCTTCTTCTCTGGAAAATATATTCTAATTTCACTTCTCCATTTTTGGTCAGAGAAATTTTGTTTTAAGGTTATTAAAAGTTGCATTCATACACGTTGCTACAGGCCTGTAAGAATGGAACGTTACCGGGTTTCTTATGATGAAGATGTGTTTATGATCAGAACAGAAGAGGGTCTGTTGAATGAACAAGAGATCCTCTTTGTCTATTGTAATCCTTTTTCTTTTGAATCCATGTTTATAAAGACCACACACCTTTGAGTCATGTGGAAATCCCCCTTCGCATCTTCTCAGTGAAATTAAATCCCTTTCACTTTCTGTTGTCTTGCAGATTGTCATCCCTTTCTTCAGCCTGCTCATAAAAGACATCTACTTCCTCAATGAGGGCTGTGCCAACAGGCTGCAGAACGGGCATGTCAACTTTGAGGTAAACCGAATTTAAAATTCCCCAGGGGAGTTTCCTCAGCAACCGATTACACCAGATTTACTTTTTTCCCACAGCTGACTTCTCTGTGTCAGAAAACAGTGTCACTATATTTACTACACATGGCAACGGATGCTATTTATTTCCACTTCCCTAAAGAGTGTTAGAGAATGAAGAAGTCAGTCTTGAGTGTGTAAAATACAGCTTCGTTTCCATGGAACAAACCTACTGACCAGTGACCAAAGACTCATAAGTATTTCCACTTCCACAGCTACACTGAATCAGACACTATTTTTAGGATTCATTCTATCTTGGGTATCTATCCAGTACATTTGAACACATTAACACTTCAGAAAAGCTACTATAATCACAGTGTTATGTTAGGTCACTTGGGCAGCTTCAGTGGAGCCCTGCAAGGTTACATACCTTGCTCAAAGGCAGTGTGACAGTAATATTTGGAGCATGGAGTAAAGTAGTAATAGCCAACTGTGCATAGACTGTGTAGTATAGACCCTTAGATTCCTTCTGAATATGAACCTGTATCGTCTGTCTTTGGTTTTATTTCAGAAATTCTGGGAACTCGCCAAACAAGTGAGTAAGTTCATGACCTGGAAGAAAGTGGAATGTCCGTTTGAGAAGGATCGCAAGATTCTGCAGTACCTGCTGACAGCTCCAGCGTTCACGGAAGATGGTACGCTTATAAATGAATGAATGGATTATAGGACCTTTGTGCATAATTAATCCAAGACTTAAATGGTTACATTTAGCAAAATACGCTTTCTGGCCAAGTGTTAGTTCACATTGATACCACACTAATGTCTGTATGCTAAATAGTATTAATTTAACATCAGTATCCTGAACTGCAATTATGGTCAACATATGATTTCTGGTCAGGTGTCCAAAATCAAATATTATTTGACTTTTTCCACCCACATGTCAGACATAATTTGCATTTACTTGAATCATGTGTTTTACTACAGTGACAGCAACACATTATTGAATAAAACATTGCTGTTACTAAAGAAATCAGAAATCGGTTTACTTCATACCAAATTATAACCAAATAGGTGATTACAGTCAGTAATGGAGTGTAGGTGTAAATCTTGGATGTAAATGAATAACTGCAGAAAACACAGTGATGCACTCTATGTTCATTGTCCTTGATAAGCTATAGTAGACCACAGACCGAATGATTTTTGTTTCCTACTAAGCCTCAAATCCACATACACCTTGTTATCAACTCTCATACTCGAGCAGCTACTGATAGTCTCGGTCTCCTTTTAATCCACATCAAAGTCGTGTGTAGCTGGCTTATCGTCGTCTTATCAGAGAGAGACAGGGAGGTCTGTGAAATCCTCCTGACACTGAAGTGCACCGACTGAACTGACCAATCGGCTCTTCTACAGCCAACACTATCACCCGTGGGTGATAGTGAACATCCTCCTGTGAAGCAATTTGTGCATAGACAGAGAATCAGAGTGTGCAAGGGGAAGCAGGTTTATTTGACCCATCCCATCCAAAATCTGTTTGAAAAAAAAAAAAATCATTAAATAGATAAGTCAATCCAGTTCAATGGATCGTTACACCTCTACTATTGAGCCAGGGTCATGAATATTAAGATCCTTAACTGTAAGTCAAGGAAATCAGACGGGCCAATAAGATCAGTCAGTTCATCCCAGCGATCAGTTTTTCAAGGTGGATGTCAAGTCTTCAAGAAATAACTTCAGAAAAGATAATGTTTCTTTGATTTTCTTATTGCAGCGTTGTATCTGGCATCCTATGAGAGCGAAGGTCCTGAGAATAACATGGAGAAGGACAGATGGAAGTCTCTGAGGTGTGTATGAACCCCCCCACACACGCACACTCACCCTCAGGGTTTTAGTCTTTCAATCACGGCTGTCACCCCACGTTGCCTCCTGCCTCCCCACTGACCATGCAGACCCAGGGGGATGTAGGTCACACACTGATGCTGACCTGCACGCTATTCAATAAATGCATTAAACACACACACACACACACACACACACACACACACACACACACACACACACACACACACACACACACACAGGTGTCCATCATTCTTCTTTGTCACACCATCACTTGCATAGACACACGTAAAGGACATCAGTCATTTTCACACAATTACATCCTATTACGCACACACACCGAACCCCCCTTATCACACAGCACTCTTGACGTTTGTGTGTACGTGAGAAGATGGATGAGAGAAAATAGTCTTTGTTCAGTCGGCTCTAACTCATTGAAGAGAGCCCCAGAGAGCTGACAGAGGGATATTTCCTCTTGCTTCAGCATCACACGCTCAAGTATAATTGACACAAACTGATTCAGGGACATTGGGTTTTTCCGCAGTGACAAAATGGGTCGTCCAGCAATCATGAGATCTGTCTGGGGCATCACTTCCATGAAAAGATTAAGTCAATGGAATAAAAGTGAAATAGGTTTAAAACTGTGCGTACTTGCTGTAAGTGAAAAGGTGCTAATGTAAATACAGATGATGAGTAACAATTAAAAACTACAAACAACAAATAAAAAGAATACAGTCCAGCTGTGTAAAAAATCCTCACATTTTTAACTACTAAACGTGATTCCCATCTTGATTAGAGGGCCAACAGTACTCTTGCCAGTGAAAGTTTTATGTTTCTAACCTCTCGGTGTCTGGCAGCTTTTTTCTTAAGAAAGATTCTCTTGCATAAGAAGCTATGCATTTAACATTAAAGATTTATTTGGCAGAAATGGAAGAAAAGCCCCAGTAGTAAGGGTGCCTAGCAGTAGCCATCTTTGCCAAACAAAGACAAGATCGCCACCTGCAGAAAGTTGTATAACTTAAAAATATATTCAGTCATGTTTGAGTTGATGGAGACCAAAGCAGAGCTGAAAGTGATAATTGGACAGAAGCTCAACAGTTAACTAATCAGGGCTGTATGTTTGCCAGCTTGTTGTAGAATTCTCCTGCTCCCTATATGTCTAAAATATATAAATGAATGAATCGTAAAAGTACGAGTAAGGAAAAATGTATCCTCATATGTGTTAAACTCATCCAAACACAGGTGACCTACAGTTTTCAGAAGTTTACAGAAGACATACTCTTACAAGGAACCCAAAACATAGAAACACATGGAAAATATAAAGCTAGTATTTATGGCCAGTGAACAAATGATTCAGAGCTGACAGTCATGCTGCAGGTTGCCAAGAACTGACCACACACACACACACACACACACACACACACGCCCCCACACCCAAGCATTCATATGTAGACATATGAATCAGATCTGCTGGCAAGGGTCAGAGGTGAGAGCAGGTTTTGGACCCAGAGCCCCGTGGGCGTTGGGTTAAACCCAGCCAGGGTGAATCCACTCTGGTTTGTGTGTGTGGTCACGTTTCCTGATCGCCTGCCAACCCTATCTGCATCCCCCCCGAGCCTCGCCTCCACTGCGACACGATCTGTCACTTTATTGTAGCCGAGCGGCGTCAGCAGAACGTGCTGCTCGGCTCTGCAGACTGTCTCTCTACACACATCACCCCTAGAAACCCACAACACGCAAACTGTTGCTGCGACTAACATTCTGCTTTTTAAAATCAGTTTAGAACTGAAAAATTACACTGAGATCTGTTCAGGTTTTTTTTTACATATTGCTGAGCAGGAAAACTGATTATATATTACCAAGCCTTGCATGTTAAGAACTCTTAAAACAAATAAGTCATTTCTATCTAATGTGACACATCAGAGGATTATCTTCTGACGTTAACATGCTTCTGTCTTCTCTCCACAGATCCACTCTGCTAAGCAGGGTCTAAAGTTCTGAAGAAACCAGAATGATGACAAACCTGACAAGCGCGCCGTGCCCTGTAGACGCCGCTGTTGTCCAAACAAAGTATCCCCGTGCTGGAAGGGAAATGACAATCTCTACTTTGGCTGGCGAGGATCTTTTGTGTTCCCCCAGCTTCAGATTTCTATTAAGCTCTGCTTTTCCTTACCCTCTTGCTCTTTGTGCTGTATATTTCAGGACAGCTGGTTTTTTTTTCATCTCTTTGTATGACTTTGTAGTCTTTTTGAAAAAAAAAAAGGAATGCTACAAACCCTCAGTAAAAGCCAAGGTGCTTGTTCTTGTCCTAAGCAGTTCACCCTGATAAACCTTCTGTGAGCGTTAATGGAGTCGTTGGGGTTGTTGCCCCCCCCACACTAGTTTTCAACAAGTTCTTTTCCACTGAAGCTACAAAGTTAGCTGCTGGTTGGCTAACTCAACAGAAACGCTACTGTCGCTGGTTCCATAAGCCAGCATTCTTCGTACGGAGGATTCAAACCTTTCCCGCAACACTGTTCATCATTATGCTAGCTATTATTTGCTTTTGTTTGTTTGGTTGGTTTACTTCCTTTTGTACAATACCTGAGTATCTCTCACGTCATGTTTTCTAAAGGTTTTGTTAATTGTTATGTGTAAGAAAAAAATGCACTGGTTGCAATTTAAAGATTAAGAGTAACTGAGTTTTCTTGTTTGTTTGTGTTGTATAAAGTTTGGTGATTTTCTTCAGCAGGAAGCAACACTTCCTTCTCGTTTATCTTTGACACATCAGGCCCTCGGTATGCTTCGGATGCATTAGGGTGTCAGTAAGCTTCAACCAAAGAGGGTTTCAGATGCTGTTCAACCATACTGCGTCGGAATTGCGGGTTTGAGATGCTTTTGGATGCCCTGACAAGCACTTCATGTGAAGCATACCGGGGCCTTTTAGCAGTGAGCTTAAATGGAAGGTGTGATGATAGTGTGTTTCCTGTTGTTCCTGATAATCAGTGTTTAAAATAGCCCACAGGCTGGCTTATGTGCTCAGCAGCAGAGGGCTACTATTCATACTTTCCCCTTTTGTTCCTGCTCTGATGTAGAAAACGAGTGTGGTTGTGCTGCCCCCTGGTGGTTCAGTCAGAAAAGTGAATGGATTTCATGTGGTTGAATAATGTGAACGGAGGATTTCTGTTTAAACCCTAGATATGCTTAATAATATCCTGTTTATGTTTTTATTTTTTCATATTAAAAAGTAAAGTTTCCACCATATGTTTTATTTATAAATCTATTTGTGTAGTCACATTATGTCCTCATGCCAATATGTACTATTATTTTATTGTTATTTAATTTTGTACTAGGTACATGACATGCTTAAGTAGTCCTTTATTATTTTTTATACAAGTTTGTATGAAACACTTTTTTCAAGGTACTAGCTCAGAGCATGAAGTTAAATACTTTTGACTGATATCTGCTTTGCCTTGCTTTGCTCCTCCCTCAACACTGAGCGCTGTTGTGGTTTATTGTACATACTGTTTCTTTTTTTCCTCCCTGTGTTCATTCATTTGTATTTGGACTGTTAAAATGGAATAACAGAACCGTTTATAAATGAATTAGTAGTGTTTAAAAGAGAGTTAATAAAATGTTTAAAAAATATGAACTGACTGGGTCTGTTAAATGTTTTTGTTTTCTTGTCAAGTGGGAACACAGCATGCCTGAGGGGAAAAAAAAGCTCATTATTTCACTTACTAGCTTTTTGAAGCTTTATACTGCTGAATATGACAGAAAGCAATTATATGTTTGATTACTTGTACTTATTGTTCAGTCAAATATGCTTTAAGTTCCTTTCAGGAAATTTTGAAGTATTGGTTACAGATTAAACTAAAGAAAAGGATTGAATAGTTAATACATTTCCGTTCAGATTATGAATCGTTAGATTCTCAGTGTACACATACAAATATTTATCAGGAAGAAAGAGTAAATTTGTGTTTTATATTTGGGAAAAGGGTCAATATAAAAAGACACTACACAGTGGACTGACACTGAACGCAGCTCAATAAAAATAAAAAATAAACTGGGAGGAGAAACTGGGGATCGAGGTGGCTACTGTAACAAAATTAAGAAAATGATTAAGTACCTTTGAAGGCTTTATATGATGACTTTTTCATAGTAAATTGATTTAGAAGCCTTGCCTGTTTTGGTCTATGTTATACTGGATACTACTGGCTCTAGCTTCTCACAGTAAGTGATGCATACATTTGTTTTTAATGAAAATAAATGATAAAAGCAAAGTTATTACCATTCAGCATGTGTTTTTGATCCACTCTGATCTGAACGGACAAAGCAACACAGCTTCATAAATGTCTAACATCATGAAAGGTTCTGACCCTCTGTTCCGGGTGCTGTTATTAAGCCAACTTTCCACTTTTGTCACAGACACTAAACTCCCTCAGCTGACACAGTGTATATTTGTTTTGTCTGCCCAGATAAATTCTGGTATCAGTTGTAGAAACTTAAGTAATATATCAAATGGTTGAGAGCAACACTGTGATGAGGACTTCATGCAGAGAAAAGTAGACTCACCAGGTAAACTGCTGGGGTCCCTTTGGTATGAGGCGTCACAGATTGGCTATTGGCAGTTTATAACACCCGTTATAACAGACTGCATGAAAAGAAACGTATAACAGAAAGTCTGTAAGGGGCATTAAAAATCTGGATCCAGTGTGGACCAATCAATATGGTGGCCTCTGTGGAAGAGGACCCACTCCCTCTGTAGTTAAAAACAGCTAATTTTGATACACTTTAATACACTAATATTACACACTGGACCTTTAATAGATTGAAAACAAATCTAGTAAAGACTTGAAAGAAGTTCTGTTCCCCTATTCCAAAAAAAAAAAAAGAAAAATCTATAAATATTGGAAGGTACAGAACTTTCTTGGAAGTAAAACAGAAATATATGAAGGTGTATAATAAAATGCTGTGTAAGAAGAAACATAAACTTTATGATCAATATTTGAGGAGGACGCTGAGGAAAGACTGAAGTAATGTGATCATGTTTTCTGCTGATGTTGGACTTGAATGGATGGAGGTAGAAAACAAACACACAAATCTGGCTCCCCCAAGTGACCAAATACAGTTAATGCAACTGACAGTGTGAGCTGCTGAATTACACTTCTGCCACTTACAACAACACACCAAGATATGAGCTAAAAAATGTAGATGAATAGCCTTTAAAACTCATTACTTATGAAAAGAACCCATTTTCTAGCAGAGATATGATTCATATGTGCAGTCACGATCACATCACACTTACCATCCTGCGATCACGCTGTGGTTGACAGCTGCATGAGAAGAAGACGGCATCATCATAATTAATTATTTCTACTAGTTTAGTTGTTGCTATTGTAGTTGCTGTGACTCTTTGTCTCAACATCTATTATCACATTTAAGATATATTTTTTTCACAATTTATGGTTTTCCACACCATCATGTCAGTAGTTCAAACAATGATATTATTAAAAATTGCGTTATATTCAATAGCATCCACAACTGACACACAGAGGTGTTTAAAGTGCAATGCATTGGGGTTCAAATAATATATTAGACCACACTGTTCAAATATGTGCATAGTAACAATATCCTGCCTTACTCCAGTGTGAAAAAACATGATGAAATGAAAACGTGATATGACGCTTATAAACATCATGCAGTGCAATACATCATGTTTTACTATTCTATGGTCTGCACAAAATGACAACATACACTATGATGTTATCACATCATCGTCCCAAACATTACTGATCAAGAATGTCATGAGAAAAGATAAAACCTTTATTGATCCCCAGCAGGGAAAATCAGTTGTTGTCATCATGTGACATGGGAAGTAGTGGTGCCAACGTACCAGCGCCTCACACTTAGGCCTACATAATCACATTTAAAAACTCAAACTAAAGCCTGGCATTCAAAACAATTAACACACACTGTAATAGGACAGTTAGAGTTAACATTTAGTGCCCTTAAGCAAGTTACTGAAGCCCTATATTACATTATAGAGTCAGATAAATGCCTTTATTGTAAGCATGTTTCGCTCATTCAATATATGCCCTCTGATCATTTGCCAACCTCTCAGATTTCCTCTCAGGTTCAGGTTGGGATGGGTCACTGACCTGGATTAGTTTGCTGTGGTCTGAGTGCTGCAGATGAATCAGGTTTGGCTACCTGCCATTATTGTTCTGTCCCTGTCAATAAAATGTGCTGCAGGCCAGGCTACTCAGGCAGTGTCAGAGACAACAACACACTGGGAAAACCAATTAATCATTTCTGAATCTGAAAGCCAGCAGCTTTGGGTTGCAGACCTTAGCTTGTACAAAGAGTAAAATGCATCACATGACAACATGGAGAGCAAGAGGAGACAATGATCAAATTAAAGAAAATATATTGAGTATTGCACTTAATTGTCTTCCACCCTCTCTCTTTGATTGAATCGCTTGTCTTTTTTTCCAGCTGTTCTAACGAATACTTCTATATAAAGACTACAAGTAGTGTGAAAGGTGTCAGTGTCCCCACAGTGAGTTATCAGCAAAACGTTTCCCTCAGGTCTACGTAGCATTTTAGCATCTTTCAGCTCAGCCCACAACTTTACTGCTCTGGCTCACCCTCACCGCTCTCTTCCCAGCAGCAGCAGCAGCAGACAGCTGAGCAAACAACTCTGATGAACCTGTACGCTACCTGCCCTGCACCAAACAGCAGACAGACAAAGATAGCAACTAGCTGGTGAAGGAAGTGGAACATCTAGCAGCTAAGATCCAGATTTTTTTGCTTATACCATAGTTGGTGCAGATCAAACTGGAGCCAAAAGGAGAGAGACTATTAGACTTGTAGGCCTGAGTGGCCAGAAACAGAACTCCAAATGAATCATAATGTTGCTGCGTGTCTGCTGAATGTGTAACCATGTCATTTGTGCGCCAGATGTCGTGTTTTCATGTTGTTCCACCGGCCCCAAGTGCACCCCCAAAAACAAAGCAGCTTTAAAGTGAGCCCATGTAAATTTAGCTAAGCACCATCAATTGTGGCCACAAGTTACAGTTACAGGATAATGATCAATGCTAAAACAGAGCCTAATCGTACAGAAGAGTCATTAAAAGGACCAGTGTGTAGGATTTAGTGGCGTCTAGCAGTGTAGTTGTAGTTGCATCCTCCCTTCCCGAGAGAAGGTAATAACGGCTCATTCTAAAAAGGTAACAAATATAACAATTATTATTGAAATTATATTCCATTTCTGCCTAAATCTTACACATTAGTGTAATGTTGGTTATATGGCATCATCCATCCAAAAGTTTAATGTTAGCTAACATTAGCCACGATAAGCTACTGGTCATAGTAGTGAACAAGGTTGCGTTCCATTTTTTTTTATCAATTTAACTTTTCATTGGTCAAAGTTACATACCCAAACTTTAAAGGAAGCTCCCTGATGCAGGGTATGGATTTATTTAGATTTCTATTGAGATGCTTCTTTTGACAAACTAATAAACTAAGGGCATGAGGCATGATTCATAGCTAAGTGGGCCTGTTGATGCCATCTCAAATAGCACTTTTTCTGTACAACCTACATGTGTGGATGTGTGAAGTGCTATACTTTTTGTTACCAGTGTGATGTTTATTGCTCCTCTCCTCTCCTGAGACACAAAAACATGAATGAAAACATACCATATATGAATGAACCATATACACATACCATTTTGAACTTATTCTGTGTTTTTTCCCTCCTTTTTTTAACAGTGATCTTTTTATTGACGAGCCTGTCTTTTTAATGTAATGACGAGTTATTTCTATATTTTGAGAAAGCTCCTGGGTGGTTTTAAGGTCCCGTTTGGGATGAAACCTTTAATATGAGTGTACTTGCTATTGGTGATTTTATTAATCAGATTTCTGGTTTCCCTGGTTGGTTCAAAGGTTAACAACATAATTATTATGTTTTCAATTTCATTTAATGTTAAAGGTGTCAGCATCAGTAACTTAAAACACTTATTTTTAGCCTCATTATCACAACCAATACACTTTTTGAGCTGACTTTACCCAAATACACAAACACATAATTCTTATATAAATAAAAAATAAATAAAAACAAGGCCTACGTCGCTCACACCTGACCTGACCTGCCAATCATACTGGTTGCCGCGCACGCGAGAACGCGCACGGCCGAGGTGGAAAAAGAGCGCGCGTGGGGGAGAGCGAGAGACAGAGGCAGGAGAGGATGCGAGCGGCGCTGTTGATGGACTGTTTCTCTACGGATGCTCGAATGTGCAAACACAATATTTCTTCTTTTAAATCGGCTCCCTGGTTTGTTTGAAAGCTGTGGAAACTGATCAGGTGAGTACTTACTGAGATTTACTGTGAACTCAACACGGATTTATTTATCACTCACATCTCTGGAGGAGAATGACGAGGCATCGGAAGTTGCAGGTGCACGATCCTCTGAGGAGATGTTTTATAATAAGTAAACTTAACCGAGAGAGTTTTTAATTACCTTCACGCAAGACAATGAATAAATAAAATGGTGGGTTATATTGTTATAATATGGGAAGTCCTCACTTGTATGCCAGCGTCTGATTTCTGGAAACCTTCGATCTGCCAGTCAGAGTTGAAGCTTTAAA